AAATTTGAAAAGTGTCGATATATTTTGTCCAGAATGAATGACAAACGAGGTGCACGCATAAAGTGTCGATACATTTATTAAAAGTATCGATCCCAAAAATATCGAAACCGATAATTACAATGTAATAGGTAAATTTATAATGTACTCGGTAGAAATATATCGGTTTTATGAGAAAATAGATCTACATAATGTATCGACACGTTTTAAGTTTGTGTCGATACTTTTTTCCAGAATGAATGTCCAACGAGGTGCACGCATAAAGTATCGATACATTTATTAAAAGTATCGATCTCAAAAAATCGAAACCGATAATTACAATGTAATAGGTAAATTTACAATGTACTCGGTAGAAATATATCGGTTTTATGAGAAAATAGGTCTACATAATGTATCGACACGTTTTAAGTTTGTGTCGATACTTTTTTCCAAAATGAATGCCCAACGAGGTGCACGCATAAAATGTCGATACATTTAAAATTTTATCGATCCCAAAAACATCGAAACCAATAATTATAATGTAATAGATAAATTTGCAATGTTGTCGGTATAAATATACCGATTTTATGATAGAATATGTCAATATAAGCGCTACCTATTACATTATATAAGCGCTATCTAATATGTTATTGTGCTTGATAATATTTCCAGTAATTAACCTATTTTATTATATAAGCGCTACCTATTACATTATATAAATGTTACCTAATATGTTATTATGCTTGATAATGTTTCTAGTAATTAACCTATTTTATTATATAAGTGCTACCTATTACATTATATAAGCGCTACCTAATTTGTTATTTTACTTGATAATATTTCCGGTTAAATGATATAACATAATCGGTCTAAATTTTAACCGGTCACGCCATTTTTTAATCGCCGCACAGCAGAACTACCCGGGCTCAGGGCTTGGTCGCATAGCGGTATATATATATACTTGTTGAAAATAGCCCCTCTCGTTTCGAATAATTTTGGATTTCCTTTACGATAGCAAAAAACACGGTTCAAAGAGTCACCACCAATCATTGATTAGGGTGTGATTGGGCACCCACAAATATTTTGTCATTTTAAATAAAAATTAATTTTAATTAAAACAACAAATTGTGATATGCGTTACCAAAAAAAATAAGTTCAGTTACCAAAAAAAATAAGTTCAGGAGTCGGTTACGTTTGGGGAATGATTAGCACCCCCACAACGCCCTAAATCAGTACCTAGTTGATTAATTAACGTCTTTGCAATGAACTTTACAAACTCGAACTTAATTTGGTTTTTGATCCCCATAAAACAAAGATGTGAATTTAATAATATTCAAAATCACCCAAATAAATTAAATTAAAATTACCAAGTTGTTTTAGAAAGATAAAGAATGTTCGATTATTTACAAATATCGAGACCAGATCTTAAAAGCTATAACAACATTTTCTCGATAAATTTAAATAGCCGAACATTTCCTTTTCTTCCATTCTCAAATTTTAAAGTGATGGATCAATTTTTAGGCGTCACTAATGGGATACACTTTTATTTTAAAATCATTAAAAGTGAACATCAAATGCGTTATGACAACCCACTTAAAACAACTTTAAATTAAAAGTGTATTACCCTTAGTAAAATTATTTGGATGGAATCAAGTTATGCTCATGGGATATCATACGATTTATGCAATGGTATTCGAACAAGATATCATCAGAATAAAAAATGTTAAAACGTACGAAGGAAAGTTATTACCATGTAGAATAAATAAAACCCACATAATGATAAAACAAATATGCTTAGTAAGAACGCTACCACCTTACCTATGTGTCATAATATATAATACATGTGTGACTCGTGTCCACCAAACAACAAATATACATACGTACACTTATGCACATGTTACCATGGAGAAACGACACATGACATAATAAAGAGTCATAAGATATACATATATTGAGCCACATGGCTCTAAACAAATAAACAAAGGGTTAAACTCCAGTAATCGATCCTCCAATCACATGTAAAAAATGCAACACAAAAAAAAATACATAAATGTACATGGGAAAAGAAAACAACATGAGGACCAAAATGAAAGAATAGGCAAAGTCAGAATTAAAAGCTTAACTTAGTCAAAGATATCATGGAACGTAAATACTGATATTTTAGATACTAGCAGTGAAGTAAGCCCATAAATACACCTGAGACTAAATTAAAAGTTTTGAAAATAGCATCTCGAGCGTACAAACAATGGAAAACTCAAAATGACTACACTTAGAGACTAAAACAGAAGGATAAAAAATAGAGAGGTAAATCTAAAATTCAGAAAACATTAAAAGGGGCCTAAAATTGGATTTTATCCTAAAGCTTCAGTGGCTAAAAATTAATTTACCCAAATATTATTATATAAAAGCGATAGAGAATGGAAACTAAAAATATATACCTTTTTAATTCTATGTTACTTTGGTTCGCTAAAAGAGGGAGCTCCTCTGTTTCCTTTGATGAAAATATAGTATAATGTTCTTTCCTTTCGCTCTTCTCTGTAAAAATCAATAATGGAGGATTTGTTTTTTTGTTCTCCCGGTTAATTCCTGATCATGCTCGGCTAATCTCTCCTTTCTAATAGTTAATTCTCAAATAAAACCGACCCCCATTTACAGTTTCTTTATGCGATTATGGACCCAATATTTGGGTAACTTCTAATAACCACTTTTCTTTTCCAAGGCTTCACGCGGGTTGGAAGCTGCTCTGCTGGGTCGTTGGGCTTGAGTTGGGCTTTCAATTGGTTTGGGGTCGGGTTAGGTTACTGTTGCTTCGGGTCTGTTCCGACATAACCCCGGATAAATCGAGTATCTACCTAAGGCAGAGCTAGTCGTTTTAAAGTTGGAGCTTACTATAGTGCGAAATGAAGCTCGAGCAAGGAAAAAAGCTGAGAGACGATTTGTCGACGCTAGATGGCAGGTGGCGAAGACCCAACATGAAGTGACAGATTTTAGGCACGAGAAAAATAAATTTTCTGCGGAGACCCGACGATTGTTATCAACAAGGACCAGTGCAGATCATCCTCAACCTTAATTTTGTTGTAAAATATCCGGGACTTGTTAGCGTCCTCATAAAACATGTTGGTATAATATTCATTGGAGGTACTTTGTGTTTTCAGTCAAATGAAGGAGTTGATTTGGTATGATTAAACATGTATTATCATTTGATTTATGAGTGGGATTAACTTGATATTATTAAAGGTGTATTATCATTTGATTTACTAGTGATATTGACTTACTCAATTAAACATGTATTATCGTATAAATAGGATTGAATTGATATCATTAAACATGTATTATCATTTGATCTGTGAGTAGGATGTGATTATGTAGATTAAACATTTATATGTATATCATTTTTATTCCATTTATATTTTTTGGTTTTTTTCAATTTAATTCGACATTTGGATTATTTAAGATATAGATCAATCTATTTCAATTTAGTATTTTCTTAATTGAATTAGATATTGTTAATGAGATCAAAAGTGTTGTGACGGCCGTAGGTGATTTACCCTTGTCGTTGATCGATGTAAAAGTATTCTGTCTCCATAAGGATGTAGAACAAAGGATAATAAGAATGAGGTGGTTTCATTAAGATCACATCCCTTCTCTCGGTCTCGGTTGAGATATTTTATAGTGGATCTTAGAGCCAACACCAGGTGTAGAAATATAATGGTTATCCGTAGGTTGACAAGTTAGGTAGATATGATCATATGACGATGGATTTAGTTCACCTATCAGAGGTCAAATCAATAAGTAGTAGCTTCCTGAGAATTAGATCTTCAAGATCATTTCTTTCAAAATATTCCCTTTATTTCTTCCAGAGGTCCTAAGTACAAGAGTTTCAAAGATGTTTTTGGGACTCTGTGGTTGTACGTATAGAGAACCTTTCACAAGGTATAACAGATACAATTAAAAAAAATTAAATATAAGAAATAAAATTTAAAAACATACATTGTTATAACAATAGAGAGCAAAGGAAATAACAGAAAAACATATATGAAAACTGGGAGACAAGTGTATATTTGTTTTTCAAAACAGCTAAACAGTATCCACTATACTCCTCGCAATTCTATAATTATATAAGTTTGATGCTTTGGGTTCTCTTGATAAAGTATAATCTTAATCACTATATATATCTAATAATATATTTTTTCAATCATTAAATTAAGAAACGATAAGGATGCAAACTTTTAGGAAGTTATATTAGAAATTTAAGATATAAAAAATATATTTATATGAAAATTTGAAATTTTCAAAGATGTATTCTCTCCCAACACCCTCTTTGCTCCTTCATTGAATAAATTCAATTTACTTATTTGTTGAAATATAAAAAATAAATTTTCATAAAATTTAAATGGTATTTAATTTTGTTATATTTTAGAGAAAAATTAGTATTTTAAAATTGAGTTTAGATTTATCAATTTTAATTCGAACATGATTTTGAAATGAAAAAAAATTTAGACGACACAATTTGAAAAATTCAATTAGTGAACTTAAAAAGACATGATTAAAAAAAACCCAAACCGGAGCTCATTCAAACCTTGAATTTTTATTTAAATTTAATTATAAATATTTATAATATTATTATTTTATTTTATTTTAATTTAAATAATATATATATATATATATATATATATATATATATATTTCTTCACATTTTTTTCATATGTGATAGACATATATTATACAAAATCAAGAGACTTGACTCAAACTTGTAAATCAATCTACTAAGTACTACAAATTTTTAGTTATTCGAATTACTATTCGGGTTGTATTTTACAACTCGATTTGAACTTGAAATTTTTTAGAGTCGATGTGAGTTTATAAAATTACAACTCGAAGTTAATCAAAATCGATTATTTTAGTAAAAAAATTTGATTTCTTGAGTTGAGTTTTCTCACCCCTGCTGCCAATTATCAACTAATCTGCCAAGAACAGGATTTTATTTAATGCAAGGCTAGAACCATAAAACCATATGCCTGAAAACATCAGTAGCCATACATGGCAAAAGGTGGGGTATGACCGACGACCGTTGCGAGCTCAGAGCGACCAGTGAATATGATGCATGGAGTCGTCATACGCCACCCTTGACTGCTCAAGTTCCGAATACGGCCTCCGGCTTTGTGGAGACAACTCAAGGCCACCGGGATCCGAGATTCGACCCGAATCTACGCGAGGCATGATCTCATGAGAAGTGCGTACAGGGTCACTGCTATTGAAACCCCAAGTGGCATTTGAATAAGGAGGGTTCACAATCACACCATGAGGAGGTGTTGGTTGAGCCACAGGGGACCCTTCAGTACTTATCACGCCACTTACCCCAAAACTTGAAGCCTGGTTTCTGGAGCCCCATGTTTGATTTGACAGAAGAGAGAGAGCACAGCGTGAGTCACCAGGCCCTGTAAAGCATTCTCCCAGAGGAATCGCAGTGCCGAAGAAACTAGTCCCGTGCGGTGAGCCTTGCAGCAAAAGGTTGTTGGAGTTGTTTCGCCATGGATGTGGAAATGACGTTCCAGTAGCTGTGTTTTGATGTCCAGGTATGCACTCTGATGATCCACCCGTTGGGCACCCATCCCTGCCAGAAAGTCTTGGGTACGCTGATAAATCCACGATAAAGTTTCCACCTCTACCGCCGTTTTCTGTATCATAGCAGCCACCGTATTTATCATACAGTAGTAACACAAATCATTCCCTTCTTGCAGTTAATAAACAAAGAATTTTTTTAGAAATAAGCGGTAATCACAATCCAACCAATAATAGATGGTGAAAGCCCACCATAAGGAGAGGAAAATAATGATCCAGAGGGTGGTTTCCTGCGTCGCTCATTGTGACCTGCAAGCCGTCTACGACAACTCCGTTTTCCTTTGTCAAATTCTGAAAGCTGATGAAATCTGGATAGAGACTACAGTAGATGAAGTCAATGTTGATACAAAAAGGAGATTCCAAATTTAAGTGCATAAGGAAATAAACAACAGAAAATTACAGTTCGAAAGTCTCAAACATAGCAAACTAAATTGAGAAAGAAGTTGCCACAGTATCATCATAAATTCATAATCTGCCAATCTTTTAGCTACTTTCGGAAACGAGAAAAGATGCTATCAAATTCACTAATGTTGTCTGTTCTTACTTCTTTCAGCCACCAAAAAGTCGGTCTACCATGATATGCAAAATGTACGCAGATTCAAAATAAACAAAGCTTCATACAGTTTAGCAGGAATGGGCAGATCACATCCTGAGATTGTTTACATCCTACCTAAAACAAAATAATATATAATGCGAATACATCCTTCAATAGTCGCCTCCTCCATATGCATGAAATTCCATCTAAAGATGGAAAAAAAACTTCTTATTTTCATAGAATCAAAATAGCTTTTACATGACATGAATTGCTTTTATCTGACTATCAGTTCTCACATTCAAAAGACTGCTCAACTTGTCAAGGTCCTACATTCATATCATCGTTTCCAAGTTTTCGAATGGAACTAAGGTGCATGGACGTGGAACAAGGTATCGACGTATAAAGATGACAAGGGTAATATTTCAATGGTATGTGTAACATTGATATACAACAAACCTATGCTCCTCTAACCACAAGAAGGACAATTTAGGGATGCAGAATTGGAATAACTGAAATAGCTTCAGAAATATGTCCATCAACCATGTGGCATTGAATGTTATAGAAAAATCTAATGCCAAAAACAAAAAAATACACTCAAACCTCCATATATTTGTAGTCCCTACAGAGAGAGTATAAGCAACACTAGGTAGCTTCTATGAAACTAGTAAGCCAAGGAACTTAAGAACGTGACAATGGCACCGATCAATAGCTAAGCACCAAAGCAAGTCAACACAACAAATAAAGTGCAAAACCTTCACTAGAATCAAATCCATCATACAAATCCAAACACAAAAAATTCCAAACACACACACACACAACCCCATCTCCTCTTCCCTTTAAGAAATTAAAACAAAGAAACAAGATAACGAGAGTAGTTAAGTCTAAAGTAATTTAAACAGAATTCAATTAAGCTCAGACAAGCAGGGATGGACCGAAGGGGCTGGCGGGGACAATGAAATCAACTTCTCTTATAGTTTAGATATTTTCTTTGTATATTCTATGAATAATCTATTTCCACCCATAAAATTTTATAGATTCGTACCATAGCATAAAATTTAGCTTTTGACCTACAAACAAGCACTGACTAACCTAATAAAAAAAACACCATTCAAATCCACAAGCACAAAAACAGGATCATACCTCAAGCCACTATTCTACATCCCTTCCCACTAAACAGAGAAACTGAAGACTAATAAATAGCAGAAAGTAACAAGGTTGTAAACATTATACAGAAAGCCACCAAGACTGATCCAATCAGAGGGGACAATGAAATCAAAACTTAAACCCAATACAACTCAAAACTACAAATCATTGGCACATCAAGCCAATCAAGTTACTTGATAAACTACTAGAAGGGGGGGGGGAATAAGCTAGCTAACAAGTTGCTTGATAAACTACTAGAAAGGGAAAAAAGAGAGGAAAATACCAATCAAGCCAACAATTAAGAACTAAAATAGAGAGACAAGAGAGCAAGGACGGAGGTATTTGGAGGGCGGACCTGCTACACTGCTGACAAAATCTTTGCTCAAGGCCGGAAACAAGGACTTTAGATGACTTAGAGTGCATACAACAAACCTTATGCCTTGAATAGTAAGCCTTAGCATCACTTAGATCCACTATACACCCTTCTACATGACACCTTCGAGGCTGAGCCCCTTGCACCGTTCCACTAACCCTGGCCTTCCTACCCGACCCGGATGAGCTTGAAGACCATGGGCCGGACTTGGATGGAGTCCCCATGCTCGCACCACTACTAATACTTTTACCTCCAGCAGTGGCGGCGGCAGTATCCTCAAAGCAGATCTTTTTCTGGAACTTGAAGCCGTTGAGTGACTCAGCAGAAGAGTTGGTGGAAGAACTGCCTGACTCAGTCAAAGAGCCCGAACCCATTTCCATGAGCTTTCCCAGTGCCCAATCATGGGTTTTGCTTTTGTGGGTCATGAAAATAAGACAGAAAATGTTATATTTCTTATAACAAGAGGTAAAATAAAAACGCATAATACTTAAAAAACAGAACGTTTTGTTAAAATAAGTCTACAAACTATATATTTTAAGTTGATTGTAAATGCTTTAAGAATTTTTATTAAAATTAAGTGAACAATGTTTTATTCGTTACACTTTTAAATTTTGTTTTGGTGACTAATGATGATTGGAAATGAAATTTGAATGTTTGGTTTTTAAAATATTTTTTTTATTTTTATTTTTATTTTTAGAAAATAATTTTTATTTTAAATTTTTTAAAAATTAAAAAATACGTTTAGTTAATATAAATGAAAACCTGAATCCAAAAATAAAAAAGTAAAACATATTTTGTATATAATTTGTAAAAATTAACTCACAAGTTAAATTAATGTAATGAGATCTTTAAAAATTAACTCACATGTTAAATTAATGTAATGAAATTTTATTATTTTATTTTTGGATTCAGGTTTTCGTTTATATTAACCAAACGTGTTTTTAAATTTTCAAAAAAATTGAAAATAAAAATTATTTTATAAAAATAAAAATATAAAAAAATTTAGAACCAAACGGACCCTAAGATTTCTAGTTTTTACATTTTCATCTTTGTGTTTGGAAACAAATTATAATTTTACTCTTACTAATGCATGTACTCTACTTAATTATGTATTTACATTTTATTTGAATAATTTAATACTAACCTCCTTAAGAAATAATTTATTACTTAATAATTTATTTTAATTACTTAAAATAAATAAAATTCATGTTTTATATATTAATAATGATTTATTATAAAAATATATTTTATAATAATTGTATATTTTATTTTTATTTTTTATATTTTTATTTATAACATAATATCTATAATGTCCATCTTATATTTTCAAACTAACTTTTTTTTTTAAATTTTAGACAGTTAATGTAAGATGTTACTAATATTAACCGGATGAATTGATTTCAAACCAGAGAGTACGGACGGTCGTCTTTGGCTTCTTGAGAATCTCTGTGATTGTGAAACTCGGTGGAGGAGTCTAAGATGGCTAAAGTGTTTGCCTCCATGCATCCTCTGTTGATTTTCCTCTTTTCCATTTGGTTTTCTTCTTAATCCACACTTTCTTTCAAATTTTGAAACCCTTTTTTTTTTTTCTAATTCTCTCTCAAAAGGTTCCTGGAAGCAAAGATTAGAGGCTATTATTTGGAGGGCGGGCAACTAGGGCCAAAATAGTAAAGAGTTAAGAGACCAGTTTGACGAGAGAACAACTCCCGCCCAAACTTCCAAAAAAACAGATAAATTAAAAAGAAATTCCGTTGCCGGGACTTGAACCCGGGTCTCTCGGGTGAGAGCCGAGTATCCTAACCAACTAGACTACAACGGAATGCTGATGGCTGTTTCAATTACAATATTCATGTCTTAAAAGTATTTAACCATATAAGTTAGTCATGCATTTATTTGACCTTAATTTTATATTAACATTCTTTTATTATAACGTTTAATGTGAGTATATTTCTTTTGAAAATAATAGCGGTTAACTTGTTATTGATCATATAAAGGATAAACAATTATCAATAATTAATTTATAAGGTGGGATGAGATGATAATTTTTTTATACAAAATTAGAGATTTAAATTTTAAAATTGTAAATAGAAAAAACTATATTAAGATATTACTTTTATAATAAATGTATATAATACTTTATTTGAATTAGTAGATTACTAAAATAAATACTAATAAAAATGACTAACTATCTACATTGCCGTCAAAACTTTTGAAAGAATTGTTATTATAAAATTAGATTACATCTAATGATAATTCCTTATATGATCTTCTTTTTCATTAATAACTTTCCGTTTTTGGTTCATCATAATATTCTTAAATTTTTATTTTTATTTTAAATAAATTTTTATAAAATATTTTAATTGAGTTGTAAAATTATCAATTAATTTGAAGTTAAATACTGTTTGAATTATGACATCAAATTCATTTAAAAAATATATAGATTAAATTGCAAACAAGGGATCAGATGGGTCAGCCATGGGAGCTCGTGTTAGCCGTGATAAAGTTTGCAGGTTGAAGTCTTTGGGGGTGTCGCAACCGTCTTTCGGTTGGGTCCCGGAATTGGGCTTCGACGTGAAAAATGGATTGGGAGTCGCCACCGACCACTTTAAAATGAATTTAGGTGGGTCGGACACCATCTTACCTGATCTATATTGTACCAGAAACGTGTTGGGTTCGGGAGTCGATTACGGTCAAGGAAGGATTAGCACCCTTGAATCGCCCTTTCGGTACCAATTAATTTATCGGTTGTCTTTAAATGCAAAAATTAAAATTTTAAATTGTAATTTAAAAATCCGATTCGAGTTACTTACCTTTGATCGGTTATAAAATCTTATAAAAAAACATCGAACATGTTAGATAAGAAAAATGATAATAATAGCAACGATAAATAAAAATATAAAATAAAATAAACAAATAAATAAATAAATAGATCAAGAGTAAATAAAAGAATAAAATAACAAATTAAAAAAATGAAAAATAAAAATAAAAGTTACAAAAAAAAAAAAGGAAAAATATGGTACATAAAAAGGAATAAAATAAAAAAATATGAATAAATCAAAGAAAACAAAAAGAAAACTTTTTCAAAGAAATGTTAAGGCGAAAAAAGGTTAAGGATTAGAAGCAATAAAATAAAATAATACGAGAAAAAAAATAATGACGATAAAACAAAATAAAATAAAACTTAGGATCTAATTGAAACAAATTGGACTTAAGGGATTTTAAAACAATGTACTGCAACAGAAAGGATAAAAGGTTTAGGGCCAATTCACAAAGTATGAAAAAATAAACACGGGTTAAATTAAACAAATTGGAAATTAGGAGGCTAATTTACAACTGGTGACTGAATTGTAAAGCGATTCAAAATACCAGGGACGGCGGAAAGGATTTGACAATCCTGTATTTGCACTTTGGTTCTTCGTATATAAATACCAAAACCAGCCTATTTTTCCCTCATTCTCACCATTTCTCTAAAACTCTCCTCTCTTAAACGAGAGAAAGCTCTCGGTTCCTATCCCTTGGCGATTTCTGGCCACCGTTTGGTGGCCCACTCAGCCGCACCACCTTCGCTCCGGCTGCCGCAAGCGGCAGCCGAGAAACCCACACTCACCTAGAAGCTTCCTATCGTCACCCCAAAGCCGAATCTGTCCTCAAAACCGCCAAAGAGCCACTAGATCGGAGTAAATCTAAGGCGAAAGGCTTTACCTTTTCGTCGTTATTTCACCTTTTCACAGTGACTGCTGGTTTTTCCTTTTGTATTGCTTGCTGTATAGGTTTTCTTGGATTTTTCTGTTTCGTCTGTGTGGGTAGTGACCGATGGTTCTGTTATTTGTTGTTTCGGCTTTGCGTCTTTTGGTACTGAAATGTTTTGTTTTGTTTTCTTTGTTGGCTCTCGATGATGGTACTATCTGGTTTCTTGTTGATGCGTGTTGTTCTCGGTGATACTTGATGCTCCGGGGTCCCCTGTACTGTATTGGTCGTGGGTTTTTATAACCCCCCACCGGTCGTTGGTCTGTTCTGAAATACGGGGCTCTCGTGGCCGTTGAGGCCGGACACCCCGGGATGGGTCAGTCCCGGGAATCTCGGCCGGAAAATCTGACCGTTTGAGTGACGTGCTTGACTCCTCGAATCCCTTGTGCGGCGCCTGTTGACATGCGTGCCTAGGGTTTTCAGACCATAAACCTTTGCTGGGCTAATTAAGGCCCGTTCTAACTTGTTTGGACCTTGTTTTGGACCTGAAAAAAAAACCAAAATAAGTTAAAAAATGAAAAATAATAATAATAATAATAATAATAATATATATATACATAAATATTTTCAAAAACATATAATATATAAATTTTCAAAATGTTTTTTTAAACTATATAATATACGAATGTTTTCAACATGTTTTCAAAAATATTATATAAGTTTTCAAAAAACATTTTAAAAACTATATAATATATAAATGTTTTCAAAAATATTTTCAAAACTATAATATATGTGTTTTCAAAAATGTTTTCAAAAATTATATATATATAAGTTTTCAAAATGATTTTAAAAATTATATATTATATATATTTTTAAAATGTTTTTTTAAAAACTATACATTATATAGTTTTAAAAACTATTAAAAACTATATATTATATACGTAGTTTTAAAATATGTATATATATATATATAAATATGTATGTACATATAAAGGAAAAATATGTCGACGAAAATTAGTGTCTACAGCTGCCCCTCTTTGTCCCTTTTCGTGGAATGAAAAATATGACAAAGATAAAAAGACACAAATTTTCGTTCGGTAGAGTTGAAAAATAACTCCCTGTTAAATTGAGTTGCAGATGGCTCCTCCGTTGCGAAGTCGAGTCCACCTTGAAATGATATGGAATTGAAGCCGTAGTTCGGAATTTGAATCGGAACGTGACTTCTCGTTGCCAAATTGTAGTCAACCTCGGTCTTCTTCTCGGATTAAAGACCTTGGTTAAAATTCGACTGGAAAGTAGTTCCTTGATTCCACCATGTGATTGCTAGGCCCTTGAGCTGAATAAAACCGAACTCGAAAGGTCCTCGTCGACATATGGCTTTTCTCGGCTTAAACTATGCTGCCGAAAAACAGTTTCTTGTCACTAAGGCACGGTTAACCAGGTCTTCTTCTCGACTTGAAAACCTTGATTGCAGCCGGACAGTAGTGTGATTGAGGTATCATCGAGCTGAATAGAGTCGAACTCGACAATTTTATTGACAAATAGCCCTTCTTGCCTTGAGCTATGTTGTAAATGATAGGACCTCGAAGTTGAGTGTAATCGAACCCAGGGGTCTTTGGCAGATAGCCCTTCTCGACTTAAGCTATGCTGCAAATGATATGCCTTAGAGCTGAGCGTAGTCGAACTCGAAGGTTT